ATGGGCTTGGAAAGAATCCCAGACAAGCAGTGATCATTCATCGCGAGGATTCCGTGGCAAACAGGTACAAATCCACTCCTTCACTCCTGAAATAAATAACAGAATACCCAATTAGAATAAATTGACAGAATGCGAAGATCAGTCATTAGAGCATAACATCAATTACCAGTGAGCTATGAAATAGAAATGTGACAAATTCCTACCTTTTTCATCCATCCAGCCCTTCTTGTGGAACGATACTCGAACAGTGTCTGGAACAGCGAGGTCTCTTGGAGTGCAAACACCTTTGAAGATCATGGAAGGTGGAAGTTTTTTTGCCATCGGCGGCGACTGCGAGTGTGACTGTAAAGCTCCTCCTCTTGGCGCCGCAAGACTTCACTGGAACTGTTCTGCTGCCACTGAATTCAAGGGTTCTGCTCGACGGAAGCTCGAATCGCATAGGAGTTTCATCCACATTGAACAGCCTGGAGAGCGAATGGCCATACCACTGCCAAAGTGCGATCACGAAGCGATGGAACTGGATGGTCTTTTCTTCCAGATCTTGTGGGAGTCGCTGGGCCAGGGTTGTCTTAGTGCTAAGGCTGATGGAATGGCACTTTTTCCATCTCTGGTACCAACCCAGTGAGGCTTTGAAGTCTGGATCACTGCTCAACTCCTTCTCTTTTAGCCATAGAATTAGTCCGCTTACAGCAATTCCTGTAAAAGATAAAAGAGATCAATTGTTTGACTTGTTTTGACAACATGAAAAACTGGCCAATCAGAAGCGGTCATTCCCACGGTTTGTGTAAACATTGCAACACGATCTGACAGATATTAGCTGATTGAAGCTTTTCATTGTTTTAAAGAAACGAAAGACTTACCTTGACTCCTCTGCCCTGAAAACCAGTCCAGTAGTGTTTGATCAAATTCAGGATACTTTGGTGAAAAGCAGCCCATCATCTTTCGCTTTGCTGACATTTTAAGCTCACCATTAAACAGGTTCGCTTGATCTTTTTGCCAGCGACGCACCATCAATTCACTGATTCCGCAATCTCTTGCGATCTCGGAGTTGTTCTCGATGGCCTCTGCTTCAGCAACAACTTTTAGTTTGAACGCTAAGTTGTATGAAGAACGACGAATTTTCGGCATGATGATTGATTACGATAACTTTGAAAGAGAGCGATCGTTTGAGACAGGATTCTGAACTCAGGTGAATGTTTTGTTATGTCACGCATGGTTCTATTTATTTACTTTAAGCATGTAACCTACTTTTTGGTTGCATGTTTCCCGAGAGGGAAGCTCCTTTTGTTTTCAGTTTATGTTAATTCATCTCAGTTAACGACACACGTGGAGTACTTTGCAATTATTAGGTCTCGGCTTATAGCCAAATGTTTTGTGTTTATTTTTTATTTCAATGCAACAGCTGCTGACATGAAAAAGTTTAGGGTTTCAGGTTATAGCCGAGATCGGCTTATAGGCGAATAAATATGGTATTTTAGTTTCCTTGATTTTAAGAAAAATTTAAAGATAGGGTTAAGTGCAATGGGGAAAATGTATATTGTTTGTGCACTGTTAACTAATGCTAGAACGTGTTTATATCCAACATCCACAAGTACTTTTTTCAACTTAGGAACACCTTCATTACAAGAGTACTTTTCTTAAGTCATGTATACGCAGCTTGGTTGACTGTGTTGCTTTACTTGAGCTTTACATTTCTGCATGGTTTAAAATTTTAAAATGGAATTGTATCAAGTCAATGCCTTACTTTACCACAATTAGCCTGCTTGAAAGCGTTTTTTAGGCTCCATTCATTATTCCTTTTATCCGGAGGGGGAAGTGAGATGGCTCAGTCATATTTGGCTTAAAAAGGGAATTCAACTATTGTACAACTTCAGGTAGGATAATTTTTCATTTTTGTTAAGCCTGTGGGCAACCTCTGTTCAGAAGGGAGAGGGCGAGGGGGGTGTTTGGAGGAAGAAAAGAGATTTCTTTATTTCTCTTTCACCCCTCAGAAAGCTTACTCACAGGCTCCAAAATTAAAAGGAGTTAGATCTTTATTATTAAAAGAAGCACGTCCAGAAACAAAACGTCTGGACTTACAATTTCCTACATATATCTATCTATTATGTATATACAAAACTAAGTAACTACACAAATTCAAAAAGACATCTATTGAAAAAGCAATGGTTAAAGCGTTCGGTTCTGACTGGAGGCAGGATGTAATTATGTCCTCTTTTCCTGAGGCTCCTAGCTCTCTGAGCTGGTAAAAGTTCATGTAATGGATTTGCGCTGTCAGAGGTTATCTCGTCCCAAAGAAGCCTGTCCTTTATTCTAATTACATCCATTATGGGAGTGTATTTGCTAGTGTAGCCATAGCGTAAAGCTCTCTTACAAAACTTGTCAATATGAGAGAGATATTTACTGTAGTGGGCAGAAGCCCACACCTCAATTGCGTAAGTGAAAAGTGACATAATTAGACTGTCAAACAGCAGTGTAAGTTCTTGTAGTGAGAAGCCGTAATATTTGCAGACTCTGAGGATGTACAGTCTAGAACTTGCTTTGCTAAGCATGTTTTCAAACTGAACGTCCCAGTTACATGGATCTTCGTTTACAGTAACTCCTAGCAGCTTTAGTTCGCTCTTTCTAGTTATTCCGTCCATGGGCTCTGGAAGGGGCATTGTGGTTTTACCTTTAACAACCATCTCAAAGGTCTTCATGTTTAGTGTCATCAGGTTTATATCCGCCCAACGTTTGATATTTTCTACTTCGTAATGTGATGAATCTGTAAGATTAGAGCCAGTTGTGACAGGCACACTTGCTGTGATATCATCAGCATATTTGATCAGTAGGGTTTGGGGGCTAACCGGTTTAATATCACTCACCATGATAGAGAACAGTAAGGGTCCAAGTACAGTTCCCTGGGGAACCCCTCTGTTGACGTTGAGAAAACTGGTAACCACTCCATCAACCACTACTCTCTGTCGGCGATCACACAGGAAGCTTATTATCCAGTTCTTAATGTATGGATTGATGTCATACGACGTCAACTTGCTGAATAGAATGCGATGGGAGACTGAATCAAAAGCCTTACTGAAGTCGAATGAGAAGGCTCTTACAAAAGCCACATCTCGGTCTAGTTGCTCAAGCCAAAAATGTTGGCACTTAATAAGGGCCATAGTTGTGTTGTGTCCCTTCTTATATGCGAATTGGTCAGGTCCAATCGCTGACTTGAGGATGGGAGATACTTCTTGTTTGCAAACGAGATGCTCAAAAATTCTCATGATGATGTTGGTTAATGAGATCGGTCTAAGCTGATTGCATTCAGTCAGAGGAGATTCCTTAGGGATGGGCGAGACGTTTGCTAGTTTCCACAGAGATGGAACGGTTTGATGCCTAAGTGAGCAGTTGAAAATTTTGGTGATCACAGGTGCAAGATGGTGAGAATAATCGCGCCAAAGCCAATAGGGAAACTCATCAGGCCCAGAGGCGGTTTGTTTCTGATGCGACAGTAAGTTTCGTACATCACATTCGTTCACAGTCAGCAGATGGGTTTCTGCTGGTATTTGCAGATGCGTTGGAGCCTCATATTCGTCGTCAATGTTGATGGTCTGGAAATATGTGTTGATGACGTCAGGTGAAATCACCGAGCTGACAAGGGTGCCTTGTGTCTTTCTGCCAGTTATTCTGTTGGCTGTGTCCCACCATCCTTTAGAGCCTCGATTATGTTTTAATTGCTCGTTGTTCACAGCGTTTACTTGGTTCATGCGAATGAGTGCGTTGATTTTCTCTTGACGTATAATGTTCTCTGCTTGGTTACCCCGATGCGCTGTTTTGTTTCTGTCTTTGCAGAGATGCTTTACCAGGGGGGACATGTAAGGCAGGTCCCTGGACGATACTCTAACCCGGACGAGTGGAAAACTCTCATTGAACATTGACCATAGGCTTGTATTTAGTAATTTCACGCTTTCTTCAGGATTATCTAGGTTGTTGATAGAATTCCAATCGAAAGCACTAAGCTTAGTCTCCGTAGCAATTTTGCGGTGGTCTCTAGTATCGCGGAAACTGACATATTTCCGTTAAGGTTTAGCCGGGATAGAGGGTAGTACAGTGACAGCCAAATGATCAGATCTCACCAGACCCTTGTGCACCTTACTGGGTTTCCAAAGCAGTGGACAGTTAGTCAGAAAAACATCAAGTATTTTGTCCCGCCTAGTAGGTACTTTAACCATCTGATGCAGACCATGTTGTTGCATAAGATCTTTTATTTGCAGCTGATTTATGTCACCTGCAATTACGATCTTGGCGTTCGGATCATCATGCAGAATTTGATCACAGGTTTCAGATGGGAAATTCAGTAGATCAGCTGGTTCGTAGATATGGGGTCAGGTGGATGGTAAACACTGGCAGCGAAAAACTCGGAATTTGGAGTTGTTATATTTTGCCTTCACTACACAACCGAACACACTGAAAGGTTGAGGCATGGGCGCGTTGGTCAGCTAGGCCCAAGATATATTTTAATTGTGACAATGAGTTTACAACAAAGTGGATAAGAGATACATCAAGTAACGTCCTACATGCGCCAAAGCCGGACACGTAAACCCCAAAAACCTCTTGTTAGGAAAATAGGGACCGTGTACCCCCGACCAACTGCAGTGGCACCACCTTTGGGGTTTTAAGGTTGATCTATAAACAATGAAGAGAATGAAGAAAACAAATCATATCAGGCTAATTACACAATAAAAATAAACCTTATGGGAAAGTGCTAGTGGCAAGGCTGACCGTAGAATGCCACAAGTTCCTCAACGGTCTCTTCTTACAAACATACTACCCATGAGCCTTCGCGTACTACGCTCACACCCAGTTCTCTGTTCCGTGTTGGCAAAATATTAATTTGTGTCAATACCGATTATCACAAATTACATATTTTGCCTTCACTACACAACCGAACACACTCAAAGGTTGAGGCATGGGCGCGTTGGTCAGCTAGGCCCAAGATAGAAAGCTAAAGGTAGGGCTTGAGCTCAGAGAAACAGAGCCTTGGAAACTTCTAGCCTACTGGAAAGAGAATCCTTAACATAAATGTTCTTTGCTGTGACTGAGGCCCAGCGACCATGGCGCTGAAGATTCCTCTCTGAAATGCCAGAGCTGGCAGCTAAAGTAGCTCCACCTGACCTAGCTGAATGAGTGCTATACTTAGAGATATGTGGTACAATATTCGCGAAAGACTTCTTAAAGGACTGCCTATAGGTAGAATAACAAATCGGCTTGTTTACAGAGATAAGGCGCTTGTGATTGCCCGAAGCTGAAGTGGCCCTAAAAAGATACTCGTCTGAATTTTCAGGAATCTGGGCCTTATGCATATACAGCTTAAGTAAAGAACAGGGACAGGTGATAGATGAGGACTCAGCAATAACGACTGACCTGCCCTCCCTCAGTTGGTCTGTCTTGCTTTTCTCTATGCTGACTGTAATGTAACCCTCGTTAAACTGAACATCTCTGCTACGCATAACTCGGAACTTCTAAGAAAACCGGATAATGCGAGAATGAACATTACTAAATTTCGTAATTGTAAAAGGTCTTCTAGATTAGTCTCTGCAGCAAGGACCTTGAGGTGGTGGGCGTCCAGGGGCTCCTTTCTATTGACTATTGGCTGACTGGCAAGGCGAACAGCTCCTTCCTTTATGGCAATAACAGTAGGGTGTAATGTTGGAGAGTCGACGCCTGCAAGAAGATGTACCCACTTGAACGCGTAAAAGGCGCAGTTGATGGAAGCGATGGACTTGGACGACTCGAGGAGGTGTTGCAAGTAGAGGGCACAATCGATTGGTCTGACTGGAAACTCCGAGGTACCCAAGACATCACTAGCAAAGGGTCTCCACTTGTTAAACGCCCTCAAGTAATTTGCGCATGTCCCAGACGCTCTGGAAGCAAGCATGGTAGATTTGAGATTCTCCATTAGCTGATCCACTCTCGGGGAATTTTGGGCCTCTGAAGACCAGAAAATGGAAGTGAAGATATCTAAGGATAAAAAAAAAAAAGAAAAAGGACAAATATTAAGAAGAAAAAAAAAAAGAAAAAAATATCAATGAGACAGGCAGCAATGCACACAATGCTGAATTTACATTTAACTCACTGTCTTCACTCAGGAAGACCACTTTGCCGATCAGGCAATACACTTCTGCGTAAAACGATACAAGAGAAAAAACCATGCTATTCTAGTGGACGTAGCCCTCTTGGGCGTTTGCACAATGCCAACAGAAAATACCCCTCTAGGGTACAAAATGAAAATACATATGACAAATCGCCCCTCTAGGGCCTCTCCTGGATGCCTCTCTAAGGCCTAACACATTTAACTTAGAAAATGATTATCAACAAATAATAAGTACTTCGCGCAAATATAATACGCCTTATCGGTACATAGTGGAAACAGCGGCGAACTCTAGCCCGAATGGAATCAAACACAAGGAACTAGAAAGCTTTTACGAGATAACTCGGAATCTAATCTGGGAATGATGCTAAAGTCAAGACGTAGAGCTAACGAAACGAAAGCCAATGGCTTACTACCAAAAATAGAGTTCTTAGCTTTTCCTCTAATGAACAAATTAGGAAAGTTAGGCAGGATAACCCAGTCATGGATAAATGTACTCCAATTGAAACCATCTGAACACAGGATGGGCCAGAAGTGGGCTGACTTCTAAAGGGGAACGATCAGAGTTCCTTGAGCACAGCACAGCTCCATATGCTTAATAACTTTACACATTAAATACACAGGGGGACACAGCCAGTTATTATGATGAGACCAATCCTGAGAAAACGCATTAACGCCACTCGAACCAGGCTGGTAAAACCTAGAATTAAAGCATTGGACTTTGGCATTGTAGGAACAAGCGAACCTATCACAGGTATGTGGACCCCATAAGTCGTCAAGAGCACTGAAGACCGTATCGTTGATCGTGTAGTCGTCATAATCAATGAAATTGCTTATATCGTCCGCCGCACTATTTAGGTCTCTTGTGATCCATTGCATATCGATGTTAATAGCACTAAGCAAACAACTACGATGGATATCCATTGCAAGCTCTTGTAATGCTGGAGTCTTAGACCCTGAATTAACGATCCGGACAACGTTCTGATTATCCGTAAACCATGTGACTGTTTGGGCTCTCAATGACTCCACGAAGGCTTTCACTGATAAAGACACGGCTAACAACTCTCTGAAACGAAAGCCAATGGCTTACTACCAAAAATAGAGTTCTTAGCTTTTCCTCTAATGAACAAATTAGGAAAGTTAGGCAGGATAACCCAGTCATGGATAAATGTACTCCAATGGAAACCATCCGTAGAACTTTGAGCTTTCTCAAAATCTGACCAGTTTTGATGGAACATCTTCCCCTCGAACTCGATGAAACCGCCGCAAGCAGAGCCAGAAGCATCGGAATAGATGATCTTCGAAAGCTTGTGCCTGACAGACCAAATAGGTATGCCGTTAAGACTTGCCGCATTAGACTTCCAGAAAACCAGCTCAGCCAGAGCTTCAGACGAAAGACGAACATAAGAGTTCCAGGTTGGCGCGGTATTGATGACTGCGAATAAATTTCTAGACATAAGCCTAGAGACATTACCAACACAGGGGCCAAGAGATATTATTTTTCCGCAAACAGAGGCAAGCTTCCGAACTGGATGACAAGACGAGGGAATGGCCAAAAGGGTCGCTAAATCTTCTTGTAAACTGGTAATTCGCTTAGCAGTGGCAGAAATTTCAGGAGTGGAAGTGTTGAGAATGGCTCCGAGCCATGTAATAACCTGAGTGGGCTCCCAAACGCATTTGGTTTCATTAGGAAGAAAGCCAGATTTAAGTAGATCTGCATGTACTTGGAGACTAGCGATTTTTGCCTTATTCTTGTCCGCAGCAGCTCAGAGACCATCGTCCAAGTAAATCACGATTGATTTCGCTTCAGATCTCCATTTCTTCACTAAAGGCTTGAGTAGTTTAGTAAATAAATAAGGCGCGGAACTGAGGCCAAACGGAAGAACAGAAAACTGGAAAAATCTGGTGCGTCCTGAGGAAAAAGTCCACGCAAATGATAGGTACTTCCTGTGCCTCGGGAATATTTCCACGTGATGGTAACCAGACTTTAAGTCAAAAGTAAACATAAAATCTCCAGGATTCAAAACCTCTTTCGTAATAGACAAATCCTCACACCTGAATCGGCATTTATAAAGGAACTGATTAACGTGGCGAAGGTCTAAAATTAGACGCTTTTTGCCTGATATTTGAACAGATACGGACAAAGGATTGATGATAACAGGAGCTTCAAACACTTCAGTGACGCAACCGTTGATAAAGAGATCGTTAATGGCACTTTTGACAAAAGCTGCCTGCTCCAAAGCCGAACTGTTATTTTTAGCTGTGAAGGGCGGAGGAATTTGGAGAAGGGGTAATTTATAGCCATAATCAATAACATCCAGGATAAATTGAGGGGCGTGAATGTCGTTCCAGAAAGCGAGGGCTCCACGTAGCCGTCCCTTAACGGACGAGTAATCATCGCCGGATTTAACCTCGAAAGAATTTCCATTGACACGAAGAAAAATTAATTCATCGCTATCCTCATGAACAAGGCCTTGTTCCAAATCAACGTCCGAAGTGAGTCATTTGGGCTTCTGACCGGTATTAGAAGGAACATCAAACCGCAAATTAGGGCAGAAAGCCCTCCAATGCCCGGGTTTGCCATAAGCAAAGCACAAACCAGAAGACAATCTCTGAGACGAAAGCTGCGGGTTTACACGCGAAAACAAATTGGGCAGCTGTGAGGCGGAAAACTGCGGAGTGGTTGAAGTCGATGTAACATTACTTCTTTGCCGGGTCGAGCGAGATGTGAAACGCTTCGTGGACCTAGCTGCTCTGGATTCGGCCCTGTATATCTTTTTCTCATCTTCTTCATCATCTGCGAGATCATGGTGTTTGTATTCGAGGACCGTCTTCCATCCGTACTGTGATTTATCAGCCAGGGAAATTAATTTTTGACGCTCTTGAAGCAGCTCCATACCTTTATCCAAGGCTTGTTTGATCTTCTCGACGTCGTTCCTTTCGAGGGCAATCTGGGCGTCTTCAACAGCATCTTTAATAGCTTTGTTAGCTTTGTACTGCTCCTCGTTGCTCTTTTTGTTGAAGTGAGGAACGGAATCGTGTTTCAACCTTTTAATCTCTGACATCTGCTGGGAAGCGATAGATTCGTTAGAACGCTTGAGGTCAGAAATTGAAGTATTTACGAGATCTTTGATCTGAACGATAAGATCTCTGTTGTTTTCAGCGATTACTTTCCTGATGCCTGCTTTGTCCATAACTAGGCAAGGAAAAGTGATGAAGAGAAAAAATAAACCTTATGGGAAAGTGCTAGTGGCAAGGCTGACCGTAGAATGCCACAAGTTCCTCAACGGTCTCTTCTTACAAACATACTACCCATGAGCCTTCACGCACTACGCTCACACCCAGTTCTCTGTTCCGTGTCGGCAAAATATTAATTTGTGTCAATATGGATTATCACAAATTACATTTTGCACCAAAGAGTCTCAAACTCAAACTGTCCATTGGCGTTGATTGCTTTTATTTTCCAGTCCTTCCTACAGATGACAGCAACCCCTCCACCGGCACGTATTCCATTCCGGTCTTTCTAACCATCACACAGCCGTCAGGGCAGATCAAGTGGGACAGGATTTTCTAGTTTAGCCAAGATTCCAAGACAAAACAAAGATCAATATTATTACTGCTCAGTTCAGCATACAAGGCTGGGGCAGCATCAGCTTTCACTAGAGAGCGAGCATTTATAACCATGCATTTCGGAACAACTTTAGGAGCATTTGGACGTAATCGGTACAGCTCATCTCTGGAATAAACGTAGCAACGGGTCGAGATGTCAGGGGTCAAATTAGCATAATCAACATAACGTAAGTTGCCAACAACATGTTCAAAAGTTCCAGAAAGCTGTGGAACTGTTGCTTGATTTTGACTGTCGAGGCCCTGACATTGTAAAGTAGCGGTATTTCGACATCCATTGCCACGGTTGGATCCACTGCAAAGGGACGAAAAAGGCTGACATATCCGTGCTTAGTCCAAACGCTAACTGGGCGAGATGAGAAGCTTGAGTTTCGTAGCTTGTGCGATAGAACATGGCTAACTTTAACCCTACTATGCACTGAATAGCCTCTTAAATTGTAGAAGAACGGGGTATTTTGAGTTAGTTCGAAAGCCCCAGCGAGAAAGGCAATAAAAAGTGCCGCCTTTCGTAACGTGGCCGCCATATTGGGCGCTAATTACTCTAACGATAGATCATATATCAACTTTAATCTGCATGACAGAAAGTTATGCAACCAGTTCATTTTACAATAATAGCACATATAACAGTGTATCTAGTGCAATAAAGCATTTATTTTTACGTAACAAAAGGTGAGGTTGGCATTTTGAAAAACTCTTTGAGCCCTCTCTAACTGAAGGCATTGCCATAAACCATGTAATGTTATACCTTTTCTATTTAAATAAATCAGTAAGTTGAAAAGGGACTGTGATCCAAAAGCCTAGTACTCTTCTGCACACTAATATGAAAAGCCAATCAATGCAAAAGGTAAAATACCAATAAAATCATCACAATTCATGTTTTTGCCATTTCAAACACAACAGTAAACAGTTCCAAGAATCAAACATGAAATCAATCCCTAAAAAAACATCCAGGGAATTTTAATAAATACGATCAGCCTCGGATCAGTCATTTCTTTTATATCAGTTAGTTCTTAGATAGTTTCTCTACAACAGACAAAAAAAGCTGTGACTGCTGCTGTATCATCATTTGGTATTGCTGCTGCTGTATATTTGCCTGTTGTGTCTGAAAATTTTCAAGCATTTTAGCCATATTTTCAGTTGCTGAGGCCTGTTTTCGTGTTGCTTCCAGATGCAATTCCTTTCGTTGCTCCATTTCTTCCTTCCTCATTTTTAAGTCTTCTTTTCTTAATTCATGGTCTTTTTCAGCATTACTTTGTAAATAGAGCATGGTTTCTGATCCGGTCTTCTTGGGCCTTTTTCTGGAGCTCCCTTGGCTTTTTTCTGCCTCTTCGGAGTGTCTTTTTCTGGTTTGAGCGAGACTTTCTAAAGCCTTCCAACGGACTTCTTCGACATCTTTACAATCTTTCAGACCTTTCTCCTGCTTTTCTTTTGCATCTTTGTTGTAATTTTCTGATGCCTCTTCAGATTCTTCCATGATATTTTGCAGTAGTTGGTCTAATTCCGTTTCATCGACGCTTGACCCACTGGAGCCTTCCAGGGCCCTCATTTTCTTCTTATGTTTGTCTAACAACAGCCTGTATTGATCCCTGACCGATTTCTGGTTGACATTGAAGGTAACTTCTTTTAATTCACAAAGGTCCCTGGCGATATTTGTCCAATTGTGGGCTTCCTGGCTTGAATTGATGTGGCTTCATGAATAGGATTTCTCAGCAGAGAAATACGTCATGTTTCTCACTCCAATTCATCTGGTAAAATTAGAAAAAGGAACGAAGAAACGGATGCTAGCGGCAGCCAACTTGACAGACACAACTACAGCTCAGTTCGAAAGCTGAAACTAAAGGAGCTGGAAGTTAACAGCTATTTTCGCTTCAAAACCTCAATAAATAATCGAGGCCTTTCTACATAGCGTAATTTATTGTTGAAGGAACAAAATAATCATTCTTTTGTCAGTAAACTTACTTTTTCTTTGGTGTTTTTTCCTTCAGCGCTAGCCATTTCATTGAAGACTTGAAAACAACGATTTCGACGGCGTCGTCTGTCAACGACATGACTGAAATAATTAAATTACGTATGCACGCACGCGCAATGCATCATTTTTCGTCACGCACCACGTCCTACGAAGCAACGTCGTCCATGCGTAAGGTCCCTATTGATTTCAATGGTGCTACTATAGCCTTCCCCATTAGGAAACTGACGTTGTTTACAAGGCGAAGGTGGGTTACTTGACCAAGGCCAACGTCACTGGCATCAGAGAAACTGTGCAGCTCGGTAACAACTGGTTCACCAAAACTGGGGGGCTTGACACATCTTGCAATCGTAATTTTCTCCAGGAGGGGGAGTTCCGACCTGCATTTCTCCCTCTGTGAGTGAACGTGGCTTGGTACAGGATCATCCCATTCGATGTTGTCATGGCATAGTTCTTGAAGTAGCTGTTTTCCTACTAAGATGACTGGTGCTACTATGCCTAGTGGATCGTACACTGAACTCATGGTTGAAAGAATTCCTCTGCAGGTGAGAGGTTTATCTTTAAGCTCTATGTGAAATCTGATGGTATCAGTTTCGATGCACCAATAGGTACCCAGAGAACGCTGGACAGGTAGGACATCATGGCGAGGGTCTAGATCCTTCAAGTCTTTGGAGCGATCTTCAGCAGGCATGGCTTCCAGTACGACCTTACTGTTACTAGCAAATTTGTGTAAGCGTAAGCTGGCAGCTGAACACATGACTTTTGTCTTGCTGATGACATCGATAGCCTCTTTAGGTCTAGCGAAGGACTTTAATCCGTCGTCAACATAGAAGTCTTGTGGTAGAAAATCTGCTGCTGTCTGGCCAAACTGCTCTCGACCAGTTTCAGCTGTGGCTCTGAGACCAAAATTGGCGATGCTGGGCAAAGAGACAGCTCTGAAGAGATGGATGTTCATCTGATATTCGCAAATTTGTCCATTCAGATCATTATCTTTAAACCACAGAAATCTTGGAAAGTCTCTGTGTTCTGGGTTGACATGAAAACTGTGGAACATCTGTTCAATGTCACATGTTACTGCTGTTTCTTCTTTTCAGAACCTTGAGAGTACCGCAACAAGACCATTCATCATGTCAGGTCCTTGTAAGAGGTGTTTGTTGAGTGACTGATCTTGGAAAACAGCACTACAATCGAAGACTATACGAATTTGGTCTTGTTTCTCAGGGTGATAGATGTCAAAATGAGGGAGGTACCAGACTTTCCCAGCACTGGTCTTCAACTCCTCTGGTGGGACGGGACTGGCGTGGTTCTTGTCAAAAATCTTCTGCATGAACTCAGTGTAGTGTTTTAGTGACCTGCTATTTTTAAGGAGTTTCCGCTTGATTCTGAGTAGTCTTTTCAGACATTGATCACGATTGTTTGGCAAAGTCACATTGTCTGTTTTGAATGGTAGGGGCAACTCCCAATTTCCCTTTTCATTTTTGTGGATGTTAGCAGTGACAGTGTTGCAAAAACGTTTGTCTTCCACGAACTCACTCTTTTCAGTGCCTGGGATGCTTCGGGTGTAGTGAAGTTCGCTGTAGTCTAATTGCATCATCTCTCTAACTTGCTGAGGTGAAGTAATATCTTTGGTGTAGTGCTTTGTGGCAAATGATACCACAGAGTCCTCTTTGGAACTGTTGCTGGTTGGCAAGTTGAAGAGGATCTGTGGGTTTTCTTGCTGTATTGTGATGTGGTTAACTGTCGCACAGTTTGCACTGTCTTCTCTTTTGTCAAGGCACACAGGACCAATGACTGTCCAACCACACTTGAGCTCTTCAGCCCAAGGCTCATTATCTGTGCTGTAGATGATGCGCAGAGGCTGGAAAGCGGACGGGATGTTTCGGCCAATTAGCAATCCTATCTCAACGTCAGTACGATGATGAATTTGGTGGGCAATCCCTTCTAAATGTTTCCAAGACCGGGCTATTTCTGGTGTTGACTGGCTGGAATTTTCTCTTGTGAATAAGCAAATGGAACCTTAATAGACTTGTGCAGGTTGTCCATGTCCTGGATGTGTAATCCGTTAACTTTCTGAGTGCGAACACTGTTTACTCTTGTAATCATATTTATTTCCAGGTTCACTTCTTGGCCTTGCACCCCAAGTTGTTTGAGAAGGGAATCTGCGATAAAGACATCTGTCGACTGGTCATCCAGTATTGCATAGGTGGGTACCTTAGCTGAAGGATTATCTTGGTGGAAGACTTCTAGAAGAACTATTCATCCGCAGGAGCGTGCTGACTGGTTTCCTCCACAAACTTGAGAGCATGCAGAATTAGCTTGGCTGGTGGTGTCTTTCTTTACACATCTAGCCAGATCATGCAATATTGTGGCGTGTTTCTGTTGGCAGATCTTGCACATGAGCTTGTTCTTACTGCAGTCTTTAGAGACATGCTTGTTGGAGCTTACACATTTAAAACAGATCTTGTTTCTCATTAAGAAATCTTTGTGTTCTTCATAGCTGAGCTTTTGAAACTGCTCACAGTCATTCGTTGCATGAGACTTCATCTTGTGATAAAAGCAGTACGTACTAGAGTCAGGCGGAGTTGTTTTCTGAGCATTTGGTGAGCTACTTGTTGGACTAGTTGTACAGCTTGGCTGCTGGGCTTGGGTCACTGCTACTTGTGATTCTTCACACAAAGGAGTTGGCTCACTATTATCCACTGGAGGTGATGCAGATGTCAGGGCAACATTTGAAGATCGAGTATGATCAGATTGGCAACTCAAAGGCTTGTTTCTACCGGGAGTAGTGGAACCAGTTGTTCCTAGAACCTGCTGGATTTGAGGGATGTTTGTCCTTTCTGCATGGTAGCGTACCTCTTCGGCGAGCTTGTCAAAGGATGGGAAGGCATTTTTCCCTTTTTTCTTTGAAACTTTAACACTTTGTCTGACCACTTTGCTTACAACCATCCAGAGAGCTTGAATTTGGGAAGGATAATTGAGAGCTTTAAGATTTTCAATGTGTTTGCTTGCAAATTTCACTTGTTGCAGGAAGTTGCTGAAATCCTTCAAACTGACCGCATCGTTCGGTCCAATTTTTGGCCAAGTTGCCAACTTCCTCTCAAAATCAGTACTGATTATGGCTTGGTTGCCAAAGTGTTACTTGAGGATTTTGCATGCTTCCCAATAAGACTCCTTCGGATCTTCCACGAAATGTTGCAATTGTTCCACAATGGTTTTGGCTTTACCATCTAGTTACTGGTACAAGAGATGTAATTTCTACCTGGCTGTCACTAGTGCAGAATCTATAAGACTGTCGAAGGCATTTTCCCACAAGAAGAACTTGGTTTTGTCTGAGTCACTGCCTTTAAAAACGCTGGGTGACGCTTGTGGCAGTCGCTGTAATTGGGTGATCTTTGCAAGTGCGTCTGTTATCTGGGCTGTGTAGTTCTGTGGTACTGGAGAACAGGTGGCTACAGGTGATGGAAAGAATGCTGAAGGATTTCCACAGAAGCCTGTTGGCGTAGTGGGTCGGTACTCTGACTTTGTTATAGAGATTGCTGGGAGACTGGGAATCCCAGAACTAAACTTGGCTGTAGTGTACACTGGTGAGAATGGGTTCAATGGTCTCTAGGTTTCTTGAACTGACGATACTGGTGGTGTGGTAAGTGAGATCAGAGGTCCTAACTGTGAAATTGGCTCAACAGAAGGAGCAGATGACAACAATGTGATCAATAAATTGCTTTTTGCACATATCTCTTGTGTAGAAGGTGGTACAATGGCAGCTTGATGTGAAGGTCAATTCAGTTTCGTGATTGTTTTTAAGAAAGGCATCGATCGGATCGTGTACAATGGTGGGTAGTAGAGGTAGTTGTTCACCATCCAGATCATTCTCTTCTTCCACTGCTCTTTTGTAGATGGCTTCTTGGGCTGCGATTTCTTCAAGTTACTTCTGGATCTTCAACTGCTCAAGCTTGCTCTCTTGTTCTGCAATGACTGATGACAACTTAAGTTTCTCTTGAAGAGCAGCCTTTTCAGCACAACAGGCAAGAAGTGTCTCTATGAGCTTCTGGTAGAGTCCGATTTTGTAGATCTAGAGAATCTCCATTGCTGTGACCTCCGCGAGTGAACGGACTGGGCATCATCTTCAAGGCGTTTAATTTCTTGTACAGCGGTAGCGTGAATTATTTTCCAAGTGTCATGTATATGTGACTGTTTGTTTGTGGCACGCTGGGATTTACTAGTATCAAGTGACAACTCAATCCAGTCATCAAAAGATTGTTGGACTTCATCTACCTCCTCAGCCATAAATACGAATAAAATATTCAAGACTTCTTAGCTTTACTAGCAGGTTACGATCATTGGCTAACGCGGCCTTTATCTTTAGCTCACATTGATATTCCCTGCCCTTGGACGTGAGGGTCCTGGGTCTGGTTTTACCAGAATTGTATTCAATTACTGCTTTATGGCTTGGCAAAATACTAGCTTCTTTTGAATCAAGCGAAGTCTGTTCAGACAGAATCATAGGAAATGGACTAACCTCTGATCCTATTGAAGCGGTTAGCTCTTTCTGTGTTGATCTTGAGATCTCTTTAGCGCCGATCTGTTTGGCGACGTGTTCATCCTGTTTTAAAGTGAATGTTGACCATATTCCACTGTCTTTGTGCTCATCTGCTTGTTCTTTCGATTCCATGACGAAAAATTCCTTCAGCTGTCCCCTAGTCTTTGACTGTAGCAGCTGCCTTTCTGTGTGAAAGGGGACGCGAGAATGCAGAACTACGACTCATCAGTCCGACAAACCAAACAGCATTTATTTAATCGAACATCCACAGTTTGCGACAGTCAGTATAACAAGGTAACGAATCCAGAAATGGCTGTAAGAACGGTTTCAAAGACGGCTGTCAAAGACTGTGATGAACCGTAGCGAAAACAAAAGGGCCTCGGGTGAAGCTACAAAACACTAGTGATGTCATCATGTTCTTCTTTTAAGCACGAGGAGCTAACCAAGGTCCCATATATGAGCTAAGGTACGACGGGATATGTCATGCAATACGACTGAACAACTGAGAAGACGTTACACTCTACTTACTACTAGATTTTCAAAACTATATTTTGTCTCTGTGTATTGAAAAATAGGATAGCATTTCTTGATCTCCACCTATTGTGAAGAATCTCCTATCTTCTCTCTGTTTCGGACATGGATCATGTTTTGTGGATTGGTTACAGCAACAAATGAGGTGCTATGGCACCTTGCTTCTCAGATTCTTTCTGGAAACTCTTTTTTTGGCTGGTGTCAACTGTTTGATTAGGTATGGAAGGTGGAATTTAGACAAATGCAGGAGCTCCTGCACTGCTCTTGGGCTGAGATTACTGAATAAAAGAAAAATAGCTTTGTTCTGAATGTTATAGTTTTCATATTATGGCAATACCCAATTTTTCACCCCAACAATTCTTTAGAGAACTTTTGTAATTTTTCCATGATCTACTTAACAATTACAACATGCCAAACAATTTTCTCTTGGTACTATCTGCTTTGCGAATAAATAGGGCATAATGCAATACTTAAAACTGTTTATGGACGTGCCCTAAAAATTTAGATTTATCTATTGACTTTAAAGTCTACCACATCATTAACAGATAGCAAAATTTGTCCCATAAATAGGCCATTCTGGTTACCAAGCTTAGATTATGAGGCCATTGCACTAAATTTAAATGTTTATATTAATAATAAAAGTCAATCAAACCTTTGGAAAAGCATTTCAAAATGGCAGCTAAGTTGGCGGACACTGTTGCATATCGATATTTCAGAAAATCTGTCACTCTCTTGTATTCTGAGGCTCGTTTGTGTTAGAAGTGTGGAAGAACATTGAGGTAAGAAATTGTTTTATCACTGCTTCCTTTTTAACTTTTTTTAAAGGTGTTGCTTGTATCTGTTGTGCATCCTTCGATTGAGTTCAGACCAGATCATGATAGGCTTTCTGCATTCTTTGACCAACAGGAAAGCTACATATTTCCTTCATTGCCTAGTAGGTGTTAATTTAGTTCCATGTTTTTTTAATTCAAAATGTTTTGGGCAAAGCGTGTGAAATTGAAATTGTTTTGAAAAATATAAAATTCTCCTTGAGGATAGAACTGTGTTGTTAGAGAATCTTTCTTTTGATCAGCGTAACCTGTGTTAAGTTCCAGCTTACAAACGTTGAGATGAAAGGACATTTGTAAGAGAAAAAGCATTGGTTAGCTGAAGTTAAAATTATATATGTAAAGGAATTTATGATTTTATTCTAAAAAAAGAAATCAGGTGAACCATTGCCTTATTATCAAAAGTCTCAATATGGAAAGTTAACTGTGGGAACTAACAACTAGAAAAAAAAGTTGTTACAAAATGCTTTTAATTTTTTAATGAGACTTATCTTCTAGTGGGTAGCATTACAAGCCTAGTTCACAAGAGAAAGTATAAAAGCTCTGTAGTCTTAATTGTACGTATACATTGTATATAATTTTCTGTTTAGATACATGTAAGGTCTTAGGATGTGTTTTGCAAACTAAACTGAAAAAAAATTAAAAGTGAAATAATAGTGGTCGAATACAAAATCTGTTATTTGATGTTTAACTTTACTCAGTGGCTCATTTTTTTCTATGCTAGTTCAAGGCTTCAAAAAATATTACACAAATAACAAAATATCAACGTGTATTATAAGTTAAAACATTGAATAAGGTGTATTTATTAAGGAAGGTGAACAGTGATCTTCCATATTTTCAGCAGCTTAGAGGTAACTTTATTTTTCCTCCATATTTTTGCTATAACTGGATCTCTTTTCATGTGGTTTTCTGAGGGAATTTTATTGGAGACTTTCTTGAAGTTAGCTGACCACTCAACAATTGCTTCATTTATTTCCGTGTATTTTTTTTTTAGAACTTGTACTTAAATGTGTGCCAGATGATTTAAGAATTGTTCTTTGTGATATCTTGAGCTTGAATTTTTTGTTGCATTTTTTAAAGTTTTTCATATTACTTAACATCTTTGGTTGTGCCAAGAAGCTCTGAAAGAGCCTTTGCTGTTTTTCTTGATGCTAAAAAATCCTCATATAGCTGTGGCTTCTTAGCCAGTGGTTCACCTGTATCAATTTGCATTGTTTTACTCAAACTCAGCTGTTGTGGTTCTGGGATCAGATGATTTTCCAGGTTTTCCCAGCTATCTTCTTCATCAATCCAAAGAGCTGCATCTTCAGCTTCCTCTTCAGGTTCCCTGTCACTTTTGAATGACTGATCTTGTACTGGTGGATTCTGTTCCATGTATTCTTCCATCATGACATTCTTCCATCATGACATTCTTCATCTATTTCTCTGTTGCTGGAAAGGCAGAAATTTAATGAAATCCTCTTGCCAGTGTTGTCATAAGTTTTGGTAGCTGGGATTTTAACAAAGCTTTCTTAACTAAGATTTCTCTTTGTTAAGTTGGACAGCTAGTATTTCTTTAAGTTTTATCAGTGTATCATTGTCAGAAATGTGATGAGGGATTTCTTCCAGAATGTTTTTTATGTGATTCATGGAGCAGTGAAGAGCTTCAAAATACAGTACCTCGTAGGACTGGAGGTTGAGACCTTCCACAATAACACTCCTCATCCCCAAACAACAGTGCTGGAATTCTTGTTTCCCCTCCAAGTTCTTCATTTAAAGTTTATGCAAGTTATGGTTTGGTTTTGTTTGAATCTCCTTGTCCTCTGCTTGAATTTCAGCTCATAGCTCGTTGACCTTCAGATCTTTAAATGGGTTCAAGAGTTGCTTTGCCTCCTTTCCTTTTCTTCCTGCTAACAGCAGTTGTTGCCGTTGGGTCAATGTTATTTACTTTCTTGGAGCCATGTAATTTAGATTGTGGCGCATGCTTAAATGCCCATCACAATCTGGGCAATCACAATGCCTTCTATGCTGATTTCCACAGTTAAAGTTTATGGGGGGGTGGTCTCCATTTATGAATCTCATCTTATCTTCTACTTCAACATCCTCCTCTGTTTTCTGTTTGGTTAAATTTAGTAAAGCATCATGTCCGGCTGGAGCAAACAGTATATACAGATAGGGCCTCTCCACTGTTGCCTGGACATCCACATCTTTTCATTTTGAACTCTAGCTTCTGCATCAGAGAGATGAATTTCTGGGTCATACATCTCTCTGACACAAAAGAGCATGTGACCAGAATTCAAAAAGGTTAAATGGTCATGCCAAATCAGCTAATGCCTCTTCCACTGAAAGCATGTCAGCCTTTGTTTGATTTCATCATATGTTCCCTTATATCCTCACTGATCTTCTTTAGCTCTGCACCCATCTCACTTTCACTGAGCTCTTCATAAAAAGCATCATTTTTATTTGAAGGAGGTGTTTGTTTTTAATTAAGGCTTCTTTGCAAATGTCGTGGTGGGGAATTTTTCTTGCTTGCAAGTGGTATTTCTTCTGCTCTATCTCTCCCTGTGCATTTATAGTCAATTTGGTGATCTCTCTTTCTATCACTAGCTCTTTTATGTCAAAATTGCCATTCTCTATTCCCTCATGGAAGCTTTACTTGATTGCATCTCAGGCACGGAAATTTCTCCTCCCTTTTGCTTCCTCACAGCTCTGGGTACCCTGAATCCTGGAAAATTAATCTAAGCCTTTTGTTACAGGAGGCTAGGGAAATGATGAAAACCCATGTAAGTATTATTATACTCATCATTAACGTGACTTAGACTTTTGTATGTGTTCTTGTCACTTTAGGCCTACTTCTAATGTTTTTCTAATTCGTAGTCAAATTAAACAGTAGAAAATGATAATCAGCCATATTGCTTGTACTTCTAAATTTTAAATTTTAATTCCTAAATCTCATCATTCTTTAATTACTAAATCAAATTTCTTTCGATCCAAAGACATAATTTCTTTCGCCAATGATATTTCAGGGATGTAATATGGTCGGCTTAGTTACAAATTTACCACTTTTTTCACCTGTAAGAGCCATTCTCTGAATTGAGATGAACCTCTGATGGGGGCTCAAATCAGGCAATGTGGACTTTTTTTGACTTTGAAAAGGCCTTGACTAATTGCCCTTGTTTGCCAGATGTCAAATCACTGCCCTTGCTTTTGATATTGTACAATCTGGCTTTTTTTGACCAGTTTGGAGGACCATCAGGCCATCATAGCTGGTCCAACTTTCCTTCTATGTTATCAGCTGAAGTTGTGTGAGATTGCTCCTTGACCTCTAGTGGGGTCGTTTTACCTCTCTCCTTTGCCTCTTCAAAGGTTTCAAAGGACAGGGTATTCACTGGACTTGCCTTGAACTGTAAGACTGACAAAGGTTAAGGTGAACAGCACTGTCAGTTTGACATTTTGAACTCTTGTTCTTTTTTTCTCCTTTTCTCATTTCTCTTCACTCTTTCTTTTTTTTAATTTATTTACTCAACTTTAATTACACAGATCTTAATATACAAATTGTAGATAAATTAACAATTAAAATAAATAAAAAGGAAAAATGAAAAAAATCGCAAAATCTGAATAATTAGGCCAGTTTATACAGAATACCAGAATTCCTTATAAAAATAAACTGTCAATTAAAAAACATATGTGTGTATGTATGTATATATATATACACACACACATAAAAAATTATACAAGTTTACTCAAATAGTATGAAATGTGACAATGTATCACTAATCAATTATGAAAATCTAT